TTGTATAGGAGAAAAAGTGGCATTGTTAATGTACTTTTTATTTTAAAATTCCATAACAAATAGAGACAGGAAAAAAACATCAGGAGCTATTGAAACGTCAAAAAAAAAGCCTAAACGATTTCTATTTTTCTTTTTTTGTTGCACGTAGTTCCGCCATGACTGGTCCGATTTCCAAAATCTGCAAAGCCTTTACGTCCTTGGCATAAGAATAATATTGTGTAAGAATTTCATCTAAATCCGAGCGGTACAACTGAAGTTTTGGGCGGTTATAAGATTAATTTTTCGTGATATACAGTAATGGACAAAAGTATATTGTGCTGTATTTCTTTTTTAACTTGTTTTATTGATACACCAACCTGTATACATAATTCGTTATAGCATAATACTCACTTATACATAAATAAATTCATTAGACTCAGTTCATTGAATTATAGAAAACCAACCATGTTTGTGTTAATATTTTGTAGCATAACCGTTATTATCAATCACCGCCTGGCATCTTCTCGGCATAGATTGTAGAAGTTTCTTGATGTAAGATTCATCAATCTGTCTCCACTTTTGCTCTAAAGCGGCAAAAAGTTCATCATTGTTTGAATGATTTTTATCTCGTATTTGCTTATCTAAGTATTCCCATAGATTCTCAATGGGGTTTATATCGGGAGACTTATCCATAATGCCATCTATTGTATGTAAAGCTCCCATCCCAAACCCCGAAAAGCACCTCCAAACCATAACAGACCCGCATCCATGTTTGACAGTGGGCAAAGTGTACTTGGGGTTCAATCTTTTTCCACTAGGACGTCTAACGTAATGAACACCATCTGATCCAAACATATTGAACTTGGATTCGTCACTGAAACATACCCTCTTCCAGTCACAGATGCTCCAATCAATATGCAACCGTGCAAATTGTAATCGGTTCTTACGGTTTTTCCTCGAGATTACCGGCTTCTTACTCGGGTGACGTGCAAATCTTTGGACGAAAATACTTTTATTAATCTAACTGATCTAGCATTTAGTTTTCTAGGCCGACCACTTCTCTTAGAGGCTTCCAAGATACCTTTTTGTTTATATTTGTTCAATATTGCCCAAACTACTTTACGCTTCAGCTTCAAATTTTTGGCAATGTCGACTTGACGTTGACCATCTTTGTATAACTCAATGATCTTAGTTTTCGCATCGAAAGAAATTTCTGGACCACGCAGCATGGCCTTAAAATCACTCAACTTATTCCACAATACTTGATGAACACAAACTAATCCTCTTCTGACACGGAACTGTACTAAACTAATGTTGATAAGAATTTGTCTACATATTTTTGTCCCTCATAAAAAAGTGCTTATATTCAGACTTGTATTGTGTTCATTACAGATAATGTAAAAACAAGGAATTTAGTTTTTCTATTAATAACGCATTTGTATATGGAGCAATGAAGTATGAATTCCTGTTTAAAGGTATTCAGGCAAATATTCATATTTGACTATATACTTTTGTCCATTGCTGTATATCAATTTTTTTTTATATCAATATTAATATGCAACCACTCACACTATCACGTATGCTAAGATAAATTCGTCCAAAGATTAATATTACTGAACTTGAAAGGTTATAGAAAAATTCAAATGCATTAACAGATAAATGTAACATTTTTATTACAGTTGTTAAAGAATATTGCTCAACACAATAGCTTGGAATCATAAAAAAATTACCCGGTGCAGAATAGATGTTACACAATCTGGGAGATGATGAATTGCACAAAGCATTAAAGCATTGTTCTTATTCATCAAACATGGGCGTACTTAAAAAGTTTCCCTGAAGGTTAAATGTCTGTTTTGTAATGTAAAAATATACTAAGTGACATATAAATCCGAACACCCAGTTTAAATGGTTTTATTTTAATAAAATTTTGTATAAGTACTTAATGAATGAAGCGTAATAAGTAAATGATAAAAATTTCAAAATGATTGCACTGCTTTAAAGCCCTTTGACCTTTAATAATGTGTGGATGCACCCTGATGTGCTACGCATTCTCCAACGCGCCTAGGCATGCTTCTGATCAGGTGGTCAGTGTCCTCCTGTGGTATCTCATTCCAGGCAACCACCAACTCCTCTCGAAGTGCTTCTAGAGTCTGAGGAGGACGTTGCAAATTGAGCAATCTCCTACCCATCATATCCCACACGTGCTCAATTGGGGATAAGTCGGGAGATCTTGGTGGCCATGGTAACAATGTGACATCATTATGTTGAAAGAGGTCTATTGTGACTCTTGCAACATGTGGTCGGGCATTATCTTGTTGGAAAGTTGGATCTGCCAGGGTGTCAAGATAGGGTAAAAGATGGGATTCTAGAACTTCGTGGATATAACGCTGCGCGTTCATGTTACCTCTGATGAAGATTAAAGGTGACCTGGAACCATAAGCTATAGCACCCCAAACCATAACTCCAACAGTGTGATGAACATGTCTTTCAACAAAAAACTGTGGATTCCTCCTTTCACCACGTCGCCTTCTAACCCTGGCACGACCATCGTGCATGCCTAAACAAAATCGAGACTCGTCACTAAAGACAATACTGTTCCATTCCTGATCACAGAGTGGCCGTTGTCTGCACCACTCAAGGCGATTACGTCGGTGTTCTCGCGTTAAAGGGAGGACCCAGTGTGGCCGGTATGAAAACAAGCCAAAACTTCTCATTCGTTGGTAAACACATCGCATGCCAATAGGTCTTCAGTGTTCTGAAAACCATTCATTTGCAATGGACCTGGTAGTGGAGAAACGGTCCCTTAAGGCCAATAATCTTAGGCGGCGATCTTCACGGTCTGTTGTTCTACGGCGGCGTCCAGTGCCCCTTGCTCTTTGCGTACGGCCTTCTCGAAGCCATGCCTGGCAACACCTAACCACAGTGTCTACACTTCTTTGCACTCTAACTGCAATTGCCCGAAAACAAAGTCCAGCTTCCCGAAGTCCCACTATACGGCCGCTATCAAACTCACTAAGTTGACGAAATCGTACAGGTCTCCGTACTCTAGGCATCGTAACTGATCGTAAAGGATGTCAAGAACCAAAATCCGCCAACGTTGATTCTTTACTGCGGCTGAAATATTCATTTTTAGACCGTTAGTGAGTTAAAAAAAAGCAGTATAAAAACCGGAATGTCCAACTGATAAGGCTGAAAATTTGTTCACTTGTTATTTACAGTAAGATAAATACATTCACCAACTTTTATTAAAATAAAACCATTTAAACTGGGTGTTCGGATTTATATGTCACTTAGTATAGAAATTTTGTTAATCACTATGAAGAATTGAAGTGCTACGACTAGATATCTCGATGAACCATCACGAATGAGTTGGAATGGAAAACAAAAGGCAAGTTTGTCTAACAAGCTCAAAATGCTGTTAAATAAAAGATCATGTTCGACAGAGATTAATCCATGTTGGAAAAAAGTTACAGACGAACATGAATGACAGGAATTAAATTGAAGTCAGTCAAATAGGCCCATACACCAATCCGTGCCATTTGACTAGCAACGGCGACGTTGCGATGAGTAAACAGCAAGAGGTTATCCCGCTACAGATTTATTTTCTATTTTGGTGGCGCTCGATGTATCGGGTATCGAAAATTCGTCTATCATTCTCAAAGGAAATTTGTGTGAATTTTAGGGTTAGGAGCGTACAAATATAAAAGAACGCCAAACAAGTTAGACATACCCTTCCATCATAAACTTCAATTCCCCACTACACCAACTCTTTACCCCTGAAAAAAAACAAGTAGGAATCTCTGGGAAGTCATAAAAAGTTTCTTCCTTTTTTTGTACATAGTTCCTCCGCGCCTTGATCGCTTTTCAAAACTTACGATTCTTCATCCTTGGCACAGTGATAGTCTTGTGTCAAAATTTTATCGAAATCCCGGAAGTACATTCTAATTTATAGAGGGGCCAATGATTAGCGGTTTTCCGTAATGCACGTGTCATGTAATATTAAGCAGATTTTCATCCTCATCCCATAAGACGAAGACGACGACCTTTGGCTCATCGCCGATCGCCGTTTTGTGATACGCACATAGATGTCGCACCGAATCGCTATCACGCTCTACTGTGCAGTGGTCGGAATACTAAGTGTTCACTAGCAAAGAGCAGACAGCGTCGTTTCGTGCTCATTAGCAACCCATCAGTGCGGTATTGATCTTAGGTCTACTCTTGGAAACAGATGAAACGGGAAGCAACCAAGATTTTGATCGTTTCAAACGACCATAACGTGCTAAAAGTTTTGCCACACCATTCGTTGGATTTAATTTTAACAAAGACAAAATAATATCAAATTGCCATTGGAAACAAAAGTTTGTTTACTTTACTGTCAATTGACAATTATTTTGAACCGTTCGCTTTAAGATGTCGTTAGAAATAAGAAAAAGTATCTACACATTGGTTGGGCGAGTACCCAAAGCTGAAATATGTCGAATATTCCAGAATTATTTTATTTATTATTATACGTAGAACCATTTATTGAACAATAGCGGAGTGGGAACAGGGAATACCATGTCTGAATCTCCAAAAATGTGGAAGACCACGTGCATTTACTGCACAGAGATCAGAGAGATTGGCGAGAAGAGCAAAAAATACAGATTTTCTAAGAGTGCGATATACTTGGAATTGAGGAGAATGGCCTTACATTACAGGAGATTGATGACCTAAAAACCATAATCAACATATTGAATAAACAATTTGAAGACAAAAACAAGTCGCATCAGAAATGGGAAACAAAACTAACAGAGACATTAAAAATTAATGAAAATTTGATAAACGATGTTAAAACTTTGAAATTAGAGCTTAGTAAATTGCAACCTAAAGCAAATAAGAAACAAAAGGTAGATAGTAGGAAATCAATAATTAACAGTTTAAAATCCGACGACCAAATGGCTTCCAAAAATCTTTTTAATCCAATTGAATCAACAAGAAAAAAAGCAACTATCAAAAAGACTGACATACTTCGCAATGGAACTATGGAGCGGCAGATCGAAAGAAAATCCCTCAGCCTGAATGCAGCAGAACCCAGCACCAGTAAGGAGGTGTCTGTTGGGTATACAGACCTTAATACATCAACCCAAATGATTAAGTCAGATATTGAAAAAACATCAGACTCTGTTCAGCAGAGCGTAGGAGTATCTGGGTCGTATCATCTGATTCACAAGCAGTCTTCATCAAGACAAGCTGATCTTGCGGCATCCTGTGGGATTGAGAGAGGAATGGAAGACCCACCGAAAATCCTCATATTTGGAGATGAATATGCTAGATCTTTTAGAGAAGAATTATGTATGACCAAACCCTTTGCCATGAAAAATGGTTCCCAAATGTATTAAATTTTGGTAAAGATAACTTTGTCATTGTAATGGTTGGGAGCAAAAACATCAGTATACTCTAATTCGTTTAATAAAGGTATTGGCAGGATTCTTTCACCATGTAAAACCACAAATGTCATATTTTTAATTGAAAGAAATGAAGTGGTAGACAATATCATTATATCCACCATAACGAAAAATTCCTTTATTGATCGTAATAAAAATTCCTCAATTTATTTTGATCATGATTTATGCATGAACATAATTTAAACTCAGTCAGTAATTATATTGCCAAAACCAAGAGTACCTCAATTGCTCTTAAAACAGTTAAAAATTGACAGTTTTTTCTTTAGCAGCAATGATACCCGGTATGCTAGTATTACGAATAGAATACATGAATATAATAAACAACTTAATGAAACTGTGCTAGTGAGAGATAACAACAGTAGTAACATACAAATACGTATTTATCATTTAAATATATGCAGCCAACGAAATAAAATTGAGGAATTTGAGTTACTACTTTTAAGCCTGGATTACCCAGAAGTTGTATGCATAACTGAAAGCTGGTTACAATCTCGTGAACTTGAAACGATAACCCTGTCAAACTACTGACTCTCTTGCTGGCTCTTACTGTAGAAGTAAATTCCGATAAATAAAAGCTTTTAGGACATACGATACTCACTTGTTTGCTTCCCGTTTTGTCTGTCTATATCGCACTGATGAGTGGCTAGCGAACACGAAACGGCGCTGGCCGCGATTGGTCACGGTTACAGAAACGGAAAGCAAACATGTTTATTTCACACTAATGTTGTTTCTATTCAAGGCAAAAATGACCACACGCCCTTGGCCTCGCCAAAAATAATTTCCAAATGACTTATCTAGTATAATGTGGAACTAACGATATCCTGTCACATCTAGAGCTGTTGCAATTAAGTAAGGGCATGGAATTGGCCGAGGGACAATCTTATAGATTAAAATAGGAAACGCAGGATCCGATATGCGAGCCTTCAGATAATTAAATTAATTAAAAAGTTTTTTCATTTGGTGAAGTGGCATATAAACACATACTTCATCATGTGGATCGTGGTACTTTGCTGTCGTTTTATCGAAATTTGTTGACAGACATGATAGATCAGTTTATTACTTTATACACGTGTTTAATCGATGTATCTGAAGGAACTGGCTAATTGGGAAAAAGAAGAGCACTGAACCAACACACTACGTTTTTTGCTTAACATGTTTACTGGCGAGCAGTATCGCAATCCCGAAACATTTTGAAAACGAAATTTTTTGGATGTTATATAACATGTACGAAAAACCATAACTCAATCATTTCCGTCAGTCTGCGTGACGTAGTGATGTATGCATATGTACTCAGTGACATTAGAAAGTGTTACACCCAGAAAAATAATGACTTCAACTTGTTTTGTTGGCCATATACTGACTACGAGTCCCTTCCCACTTCAGTTGGCCAAACTATTGAAATCTTAGTTTTTTCTTATCAAACACAACTTTGAAGTTGAGTCATTAATTTTCAGATAATGATTGTAGAAGGAAGATAAACCAAAATATGTGTGTAAAAATAAAAAAAAAATTAAAAATAAAATTTTACCTTGTTTTATAAAGTATCCTTCCGACAAGTATTTCAGTGCGGACCTGTATTTGATCGTGAGGTCCCCTGTGAGGTCTTAAGTCACCTGATTCACGAGCCCGTTGTACTACATTAACAAAGGCACGAGGGGTTGGTTGCACTCGATTGGGAAACCGATCCGCATAAACATGTGCCATTTTTTATTTCGTTTGAGCCACGCAACAGATACCACTATTCACTGACACTGACTGTATACAAATGAATGAAATAATTGTAAAAACATCGTTCCAAATTCTTTCGCTTTTTTGTTTCCGATGCGATGAACCGATACGGCGGATTATATCCGTTGTCGCCAAACACGAGCACATAATATTATGATTGAGACAGGGCGGTACTCAAACTTCCAAAGGGCTATAACTTTGTTACTTTAATTTTACCAGAAAAATGGTAAAGGAAATAACATTTCTTTTGATCAGATCTACTCACTGTTAAAATAAATGACTCAACTTCGAAGTATAATAAAAATGTAGCAGGGTTTTATAGGTTTAAAATATTAACAATGAATATTTTGATAATATATAGTAGAAAACACCAACTTTATCACTCCCCAATCAAATTTGCAGCATAAAAATAACACAGGTTACAATTACAGCAAATCAACCTATTTTCATTTCAATGCAAAATAAGTCTATAACGCATAGGTGGCTGTGAAAAATAAAAGCCATGACAATTGTTTTTATTAATGACAGCTGTCAGAATACGTTTAAAGTAGTTTTGGGTAGTTAAGGTTTTCAAAATGGGTAGAGGAAAGGTTATTAGTGAGAAAATTCGGTTACTGATAATTAAATTTTTTAATTCTGGGAAATCAAACTCAGAAATTGCAACTTTGTTAGACTTATCGCGGTACAGTGTGAGAAAAGTGAAATTTCCAGCATCCATTATGGTCTGGGACAGTATGTCATCAAAAGGAGTAGGGAAACTTCATTTTATTGATGGAAATGTGGATACAAACAAATATTTGGCAATTTTAGAAGAATCGCTTTTACCAGTGATGGATGAATGTTTGACATCCGGCCAAGATTTTGTGTTTCAGCAAGATGGTGCAGCGTGCCATACCTCAAAAAAGCCTATAAAATGGATGGACGAAAATAATGTACCACTTTTGAAATGGGTTTCTAGCAGTCCAGATCTGTCACCTATTGAAACTTTGTGGCACGAGATGAAAAAGGTTCTACGACAACATCCTGCTCGTACAATCACCGAACTGAGACAAAAGCTTCAAGAAATATGGGATTGTTTTACATCATATTTTTGCCAAAACTTGGCTAACACTATGCCCCAAAGAATTTCAGCCGTAATAAAAAACAAAGGTGATGTTACCCAATGGTAACCATTCAATTATTGCTTTGTTAACTTCGCGCATTTATTCGCACATTGTTTAGTTGTTCAACAGGTCTAAGTGATTTCAAATATGTATTTTTTACGACTAGAGTGTATCTAAAATGTTTTTGAGAAAATAAATTGTTTTAGAAGTAAATAGTTTCGTCATGTTTAGTTTATAAAGGCATATTTTGGTACAATCTTGAAGTGGGCCAACTGAAGTGGGAAGGGGATCGTATTTTAAAGCACGCAACAATGTCAACGTTTTATCTTCGTTTTTGTTTGCCTTTGTTAAAATGTAACGTCTTAGTGTGAAGAAAGCCGTTTCTGGGAGCTAGTACAGCTAGTACAGACATTTTAGTTATTGCCTTTTCATTTACTAGTGTTAAGCATATCAAAATGCCTCGAATTCGAAGACGTCCAAATTATCACCATGTTAGCGACTTTGACATGGGTAGAAATATTGCCTACCGAGATATTGGTTTGTAGTTTAGCGAAATTTGCCGCCGTATTAATTGTACTGCAATGACGGTAATGCGTGTGTGTCGTGTGTGGATAGAAGAAGGTAGAGGAACACGAAGAAGGCGGACTGCGCCACCGAGGCGTATCACAGAGCGTCAAGATAGCGCTTCAGACAGAAACCGTTTTGCTACTAGGCGTCAAATCGCTGACCAATGGTTTGGAGAAGGTAGACCTGTTACTGCGTACACTCTATCGCTGCAGTTGAGCCTTTGGACTTTTTTCAAACCGTTCTCGGTTAGTGCTTCCTCTGACTGCGGACCGCTGTCGTCAACGTTTGAACTGGAGCAGAGAACGGCAACATTGGGAGGCAGAAAATGGCATAATGTAATCTTCAGCGACGAATTGCGATTCTGTCTAGGTACGCACGATGGTCGTAGAAGGGTAAGATGCCGCCGTGGAGACCGGCGTGATATTGGATTTGCTGTTGAGAGGCATGCACAAAGGACTGTTGGAGTAATGGTTTGGGGGGCTATTGCCTATGGTAGCCGATCACCCCTTCTCTTGGTTCAAGGCAATATGACTGCTGCGCGGTATGTTGATGAAAACCATTTTCCTGACGTATCTAAAGAGCCGTTCACAAGTCCTTTTTCAGCAAGATTATACACTTTGCCCCATCCGCCACAGACTCTGCCACAGCTAATCCACGAAGTTCGAGTTGCTTGGAATGAGGTGCCACAACCAGACATCGCTCATCTCATTTTATCGATGTATACAGGAGTGTATTCAGCTGCGGGGTCGTTCAACACGTTAATTTATTTTCTTATTACTTGTCAATAAGATTTCGTGAGAATTTTATCGTTTCATTCTTGATGTAAGTCTACCTCATAGCCACAAAATCTAGTTGAAATCATTTTTTCTGGGTGTCACTGAGTATAGTATGGGTGGCAGGAAACTTGACAGATCTAATACAATTAATAAGTTGGGAGTCACATTTGACAGAAAAATTTTCCTGTCACAAAATGTGGCTGCATCCTAGGCGTATGGCTTTATTCTAAGGAATACTGGTGATTTCCATAACTCTTTTACACTGTACTATGCTTATGTAAGATCTACGCTTGAGTATGCATCCCTGGTCCGGTATCCTCACCATCAAATTTATATTAACTGATTAGAGTTCATTAAAAGAAAATTTTTAAAATATCTTTCATATAAACAGGATGGGGTATACCCTGTGATTGGTTTTTCTCAGTAGAGCAGTCGCAAAAATAATTCAGTCCAGTCTCTTCACAAGCTTATCCATGGAATTATAGACATCTTATAACAACTTAGCTTCTTTGTTCCTAGATTAGCGTCACGAAATAGTGCAATGTTTTACTTAGCTCGGCCTAGTACTGACATACTTAAGTTTTCTCCAATCTAAATAATGTGCCGTAATTATAATTTAGTTAACAGCTGTTCAGATAGTTTCGATTTGTTCGACTTTGGGAGACATTAACGCTTGCATAAATGTTCCCGGTTTGATTGCTGAGTGCTGGGTA